ATTTTTGTATTTTGAGCTGATCTTGCATAATAATTACTCATCAAGATTGCAACATTTTTACTCAAAGTAAAGTTTGATGCTGGAAAATTTATTTTGTGAGCTGATTTTGCACAATGATTTAATCAAGATAGTGACATTTATTCTGATATGTTTAATTGTGTGAATTCATTTTTGTAAACTCAGTAAGTTATTGAAGTTGTCAGTTAATCTGTGAAAACAGGAGGAGCATGTACGTTTAGCTTATCATTTTGATATTTTAGAAACATCCTGGCTTTAATGGTTTGATATGGTTTTCCGCTGCTGTGGAAATATATGCCCAGGTTTGATAGAAATAATTGCTGTTACCCTTGCACATTTAAACTCCATCTATCTATGTTTATTAAAAACATGTTTCCAATCAATGCAACTTAATATACATCATAAATGAATTTAGTATGCAAAATTTCATAAAATATTTACACAATTAGTGAGAAAAACGTTTTATTTCTTTGTTTATATTTATTTAGTTCTCCTGTCCTCTCTCTACAGAGATGAGAACGACATAAAGGAATATGGATTGCTTAATGTGAGGTTTGGTTGGTTATAGTTTCTTTTATATTTTGTTTTCTGCAGTCAAAACTTTTGTTTGTTGCTTAAATAGTTGAGTATCCATTTAATAATGCCATTTAGGGGCGGTGGGGTAGCCTAATGGTTAAAGCATTCACTCGTCACACCAAAGACCCGGGTTCGATTCCCCACATGGGTACAATGTATGAAGCCCAGTTCTGTGTCAACGGTCATGATATTGCTGGAATATTGCTAAAAGTGAAGTAAAACCTGACTCACTGATAATGCAAAGTTGTTGTAAATGAATAACTAAACATAGTTTTGTGTCACGTCTTTCTTGACTACTGGTTATACAACAACAAAAAGTAACAGTACTGGTCCAAGTAATTTTGAACCAGTACCTATTTCATAATACTAGATGATGAAAAACAGTATTCGTGATCGTTTGCCCTTGAGACCAGAGTGATCTCAACACCTACAACTTGAGCCTGTATGTCTACAGATAGAGCACCTGTTTGGATATCCCCTCACTTTGTGATATATCACATGTGATATCTCTCAGAACAGTAGAACCAACCTGAAAGTATAATAGCCTATGATAGTCCAGGAGACAGAGTGCCTGGAATTCCTCGTCCTAATTATGTTTGACCAGGCAGTAAACAGTAATTACTGTTAACCGAAAACACTGATTCTGTCAGTGGCTGGAGAGAGGATTGGTGCTAAACAGGCAGGTCAGGATTGTGACATGTTTTAGATATCGAACACTTCTGTTTTACATATCAGTTGAAGACATTTTTGTCCTGAAAGTGATGTTTTCTCCTGAAAGTGATGTTTTCTCAATATGTAAATCGTTGTTCAGTCAGTAAGTAGAAAGTACAGAGAGTCTGGGTCTATTGCAAACAGCTTCCCATGCAACATGAACAAACAATGCCAGGAAGGAATGTTTATTTGTTGACAGAATTGATATTTCTTGCTCCTGTACTTTTTTTTGTGGCTTGAAATTCAGCAAACCAGTGTTCCATTAGTGTGTGTGTGTGCATGCCTGCGTGCTTGTGTGCGTGCGTGCCTGCGTGCGTGCGTGCGTTTGAACCCCCTCCTCCCTTTTGAAAATGACTAAAGACCACTTTGAAGTTAATGTTTTACATTGGCGGAGCCAAGTGGGGGTTCGAAACCCCCCAACCCCAGGCCTTTTCAAAATTCCTGGATGCACCTCTGTGTTCTATTTGTAATCAATCTATCACTGTGATTCTGTTAATTTTGTTAACAAGCCATTGAATTATTTGTGACGGTTACGAAGAATTTTACAGTATAAACTTTCTTTTGCAGTAATATGGTATAGCTTACAGTGTTGCATGGTTAGTTCAGGAAATATTTGCACTTCAATCATATGGGTTTTTTTACCTTTGTTGTTTAAATCTAATGACATTCATGCTTATATTCATTCTTATACATGCCAGTAGTTTGTCTCTCAGTCCCTTAACCAGATCATTCAGTTCTGTCCAGCCTTACTGTAATGGAAAATCCCAAATGTTGTTCTAGATTTTTCTTAGGTTCAGGTTCTGAATGTCCAACATCACGGGGGCTTGTTTTCAGCATAAATAGAGTCCTTTGTGTCCATCAAAACAGTATATTTTCAGACTAAGTCAGTCCAACTCTCAAACAAAAAGTAATAAATATTTGAACAGGTTGCAAATTGGAACAGTGTATTTCAATAATTCTGGTCTTTTGTCTTCTACTTCACAATGCTATGAGGCATTTTGTATGTGTGATGGCGCTGAATAAAGACGGTCATGTCACAGTAGTTAATCAGACCCATATTACACCACCTGCAGAGCTGATGTGGCTTGTCAGTGTATGCTGAGAAGGCAATCAATAAATGTCTAGGTAGAAAGAACTTGGAGTTATGTCCCTTAGTGCTCATCTAGCTTACCCTTGACACTCTCTTCCAGATAAGATGAACATGTTTCATGTTCACTTGCAAATATTATAGATACGTTACAATCTGAGGTTGTGAATTGGCTCTCATGCTGATATGGGAGTTGATGGCTCAGATACGGGAGTCACATGTTGAGATGAGGGTCTGTGCTGATATGGGCATCTCATGCTGATATGAGTCACAGGCTGATATGGGGATCTTGGGCTGATATGGGCGGCTCATGCTGATAGGGGGTCTTGGACTGAAATGGGGGTCTCATGCAGATAGGGGGGGTCTTGGGCTGATATGGGCGGCTCATGCTGATAGGGGGTCTTGGACTGAAATGGGGGTCTCATGCAGATAGGGGATCTTGGGCTGATATGGGCGGCTCATGCAGATAGGGGGGTCTCGGACTGATATGGGGTCTCATGCTGATATGGCATCACAGGCTGATGTGGGGATCTTGGGCTGTTATGGGCGGCTCATGCTGATAGGGGGGTCTCGGACTGATATGGGGTCTCATGCTGATATGGCATTGTTATAGTGACTAATTCAGGACAGCCATCGTCCAAATATTTAAAAAGTCCAAAACTATGTTGTCAACACATGTGAGACTTCATTGTAAAATATATATGGCGCTAACCTGTATTCTTTATCACAACTGTACATCCTTATCACTACCTCATTGTAATTGACTTGTCAGACCATTAATTATTGTATAAGACATTTATAACCTTCATTGGTAATCCCCCTTGTCCGTGTCTGCCATCACATCAACTGGTCAAGGAAGTGCTATTGTTTTTCTGTCTGTCCATTGATGAGTCGTCGCCTGTCCATTGTTGTCAAAAACTGTATATATACTTAGTATGCTCACATCTAGACAGTAAAGGAGTACGAGTTCGGTATTTGGACTGTCTGTTGGGATGACCACGAGCAGGATAATGCCGCTCGTAGGAAACGCCCTGGGGTTGAGCAGGTACTCAGCTCACCTCGCTCATGTCTTGTGTATTTGTTTGTCATGTACTAAAGACATTTGAACTCAACTATGCCTTCGTCTTCATCAACGCACACTTCATCTTAATTATGAGCTAATTCCCCACTCGACGCATAAACCACGCGTTGACAGCATCACAGGCTGATGTGGGGATCTTGGGCTGTTATGGGCGGCTCATGCAGATAGGGGGGTCTCGGACTGATATGGGGTCTCATGCTGATATGGGGGCTCTTGGCGAGCGAGCGAGTTTAGTTTTAGCCACACTCGGCAATATTCCAACTATATGACGCCGTCCGGGGCTCTTGGACTGATATGGGGGTGTTGTGCTGATATTGGGGTCTTGGAATGATACATGGTCTCAGGCTGATGTGGTGTTTGATATGATAAGTGCCATATTTTACCCTCCAAATATCAGGCACTGCTTGTGTTTTGACTCTGTACAAGATAACAGCACACATAAAAGAAATACCTTAGTATACCACTTGACACATATCTTTGTTAGATGACCCTCTGAACTTCATACACTTAGTTGATGTCTAAGTGATGATTTCCTGTTCAGCTAGCCTTTACATATTCAGCTCTTGGGTTGTTGACAGGCACCAAATGTGATGAGGAGCCCTTAGTTTGTTTTGTTTGATAATTAGGAACTCCCTCTAGTCACATTTTCACTGGTCCCAAGCAATATCGGTTTAGAGGGAGTCCACTGTATGTAAATTAAAACAATGTCCAATTACCTTCTTTCTCCTCTGGCACCACATTGTTGTTGTTTGTTGTTTACAGTAGCGATTCCAGGTTAGTATAGGTCTAAAACAAACCTGTGGATCAGTTGGACGGACTCAATGATTTTATTGTATGTCATCTGCTGCAAGTCAGTTATGATTACCATCATTGGATTCTTTCTTGTCCTCAATACATTTTGGTTGTCTCTGGCCATGGGACAAGCATGAATTGCAAATGGTGTTGATAGGTCATGGTGGCAGTCAATGTTTTATTGAATGATTTTTTAAATGTTGCTTCAGTCAACAGCATGGGTCAGGAGTTGGCGACACATTTATTGTATCTTTGATTCAACAAATTCATCTTTGAATTAGTATGAGTCCGTTTGCATTGTTATCTATGTATTCAGTTTTTTTATGTACCTGTGAAGTTCCGGTTTAGAATATTGGGCCTAGATTTTTGAAGCTGTCTTAGCGCTAAGATAGTCATAAATTAATTTTAATGTATGGCACTTACGACTACCTTAGCGCTAAGAGAGCTTCGAAAATCTAGGCCCTGATCTTCAGTAACCCATGCTTGTCGGAAGAGGCGACTAACGGGATCGGCAGGTCAGGCTCACTGGCTTGGTTGACACATGTCATCGGTTCCCAATTGCGCATATCAATGCTAATGCTGTTGATCACTGGATTGTGTGGTCCAGACTCGATTATTTACAGACCGCGGCCATATAGCTGGAATATTGCTGAGTGCGGCGTAAAACTCAACTCAACTCACTCACTCAGTCCTTTGAATTATTCTGTTGCATAATCGTGTATTTTTCCATTGCAGACATAAAGAATCACAATGTCAGGTAAGTCATGTAACAAGTTGTCTTACTGACGATTCTAAAACTGTGGTTAAAGCAATTGCTTGTTTCACAGAAAATCCAAGTTCAATTGCCTTCAGGGGTACACTGTGAGAACTCCATTTATGGCATCACTGACATCTCGCTTGAATATTGCTAAAAGGAGTGTAAAACCATACTCACTCACTCACTCACTCACTCACTCTCTCTATGTTTAGGTTTGATCAAAGCAAAGAAGTATGACTGGAAGGACTCCAACTTGGCTCTGTTTGGATCTGACCTTGAGAAGAACGTCAAGAGTAAGTAGTATTCAGACCACAGAAAGTTAGCTGAGTCAGTTTTATTCTTCTAAGGTTCAAGGCTTAAACCTGTGTATGAAATAAGCCAAAACCCCAGCCAGACATCAGGGCTGGTAACTTGAAAATGTTACCAGCCCAAAACAGATTTAACCAGCCCAGACACCAAGCAATTATGGTGAATGTACTCAGATGTATGGAGCATCTAAAATTTGTACCAGACCATTGGGCTGGCTAGCTGTAAATCTAGACCGTCCGTCAGAAATCTAGCTGTTGGACGGTTGGACGATCCTTATTTCATACACTGCTTAAACACAATGGTTCAAGACTGGAGACATGTAGAACACCACTGTTTTTCAAGGATTTTACTGATGTCACATCACCACTCATTGAATTTTCAATTATGATCAGTTTGGAGTAACAAATATCAGGACTGATAAAAAGAAGATATGGCCAGACCAATTGTATTTCTTGTTTTACGGATTTTTGTCCTCAGAAAACCTCAGAAAGGCAGGAGGGAAAAAAATAAAAAATAAAAATCACCAGTCAAAGTAGTATTCCTTTTCAATACTAAAAGTATTTTACATTTGGCAATTTATTAAGTGTATATGGGGCAAAAAACAATCAAAAATCTTTTTTGTAAGTTTACATTTTTGGCAAATAAAAACCTGAGGATTTTATTTTATGAGTGGGTAAAATGAATTTTTTTTTTCTTATTCTTGAAAAAATCAGACTGTCAGATCCATAAAACAGGGAATAAAATTGGTCTGGCCTAATTATTATTTGTAATATTTTGTTATCCCGAAACACATGTTTGTCGGTATCACCAAATGGTACATATATGACATTTGTCTTCAAGAAGCTGACATACCATGATATGACTAAAGTTCTGTTGGTGTTAAACCTAACTCACTTACACTTGTCTTCTTATGGTTCATAAGGGGCAGGGAGGTATCCCAGCGGTTAAAGTGTTCATTCATCATATTGACCGACTGGGTTTGATTCCCAACATGGGTTCACTGGGGTGTGACCATTTCTGATATCCCCTGTTGTGATAAGGCTGGAATATTGCTTAAAATGAAGTAGACCCCAACTCACTCAGCCCATATGGTTTGTGTTCCAGAGGAATCTGCTGAGACTGAGGCTGCCTGGCAAGGGTGTGGCAAGTCGGTAGGCCTGAAGATATGGAGGATTGTGGTAGGTTGTCATAACACAATGAAGCTGGTCACACTTGTATATATACCAAGTTACATGATTTTCCTGTTTATAAATATATGAAATATGTATCAGGGATAGAAATGAATATTTTCAAAGTGTTACAAGACTCTCATAAAAATATTTTATGGTCCTGTGGAATTTAGCTGCAGATGAAGGCGGTAAAAAGCAATTACTAGTATATATTTTATTAGTCCCCAAAGTCACATTCACCTATTTTAATATGATGAGATTGTAGTAACCCCCACCTTTGATGAAAAAAACATTAAGTGCTTGGGTTGAACACACCCATGTCTGATGTCTGCATGGTAAAGATACTGCATGGACGTGCAGGGACATTTAATGATGGGAGAGAGTGGCCAGAGCATGATTCATTCATTCTTTGAAACTGGACACCCTGAATTAAGTGCTGGCTGACCAGATCGTATGACCTTGTGTATATCTGGTAAGCCAACACATTTCCACTTGGCCAAGCTATCAGACATGTCTTGTTAGCCATTATTTATCATGTTCAACTAACCATAACGAATTATGATGGCATCTCCTCATGAATATTCTTGACTTAAGTAACAATTTGCAGGTTTTGAGTTACCTGTTTTAATATATTTCACATGTTGATTTGTCGTTCAAACAGCAAAAGTCCTGATTTTTGTGTCTCGTGTACTCTTTGTAGAAATTTCAAGTAAAGAGCTGGCCTCAGGCTGACTATGGCAAGTTTTATGATGGAGATTCATACATCATCTTGAACGTAAGTTCTACAATTTGTTCAGACTACATTACTTTGAATGTATCTCTTGAACCTCAGCTTACTTGTCATTAGCCAAGAAATTAATTGAGATTGATTTCAGTTTTAATCTTGTGCCAAAAGTAGTTGCATTTTGAATTGCATTTTGGTTAAAATATTGAGACCTGTTTTGTACACCAGTTTGTTTTTCCATAATTTTCAACCAGAAGGGTAAGTGATAATTGAACATTACTTTTGTTTTTGAAACTGATCACACAGTATGAACTGACTCAAATGATTTCAAGGAAGATTACTCATGGTCTCAACCTCTTGTTTCTTTGATCCTGACCTTGTTTCCTGGAATGTTGTATTTGAAGTGACAAAATTAGACTAACACTTAGTCTGTGAACATAAATAATTTTGACAGAAACCAACAATTCCTTTTAAATTGAAAAGGAGCCCCAGTGAGGAAATATAGACTTGTTTCATTTAGGTTATAGACTTGTAAAAACGGCTTGGCAGAGTCTGTAAACTGTAAATCAGATGTTTCAAAACAGTCAAGAATTGTAGATTAAAGGGAGACAACTCTTTCCACACAGACGTACAAGGAGGACGACTCTGAGGAGCTGCAGTATGATGTCCACTTCTGGATTGGACAACACAGCACTCAGGTACAGATGTAGCCAGTCAGAGCTGCTGGGTCTAGGTCACATACTTTGTTGGTTCACCACATGATGCATACAAGTCAGTTCTGTAAGTTTTATTACCTATTGTTGTGATGAGTACATTCGGAAGGACTTGTAATCTTTGTGGAATTACTTCTCCAATCTACAAAAGCTTGTATAAATGCCCCTAAACATGAAAATAAGTATAGTATAATGGTAAACAGGATGAGTACGGTACCGCTGCCTACAAGACTGTGGAGTTGGACACGTTCCTGAGCGATGCCCCAATCCAGCACAGGGAGGTTCAGGGCCATGAGTCAAGTCTCTTCAAGAGCTACTTCAAGACCATCACGTGAGTCTAGGAATCCATGGCTGTTTATGAAATGTAGTTATTAAAAATATTATGTGGTGTTGCAACAGGTTCTTACTAAGTCTACAAAACTTCAAGTTTACTTCCAAGTGTTTCACTCCTGCACCTGTCTGGGGCACCTGAGAGGATATTGAGTGATATCTGTGTACTGAGAGATCTCATTCAGTGAGTGATATCATGTACTGAGAGATGTCATTCACTGAGTGATGTCATTTGAGTGATGTCATGCAACTAGAGATGTCATTCACTGAGTGATGTTATGCACAAAAAGATGTCATTCACTGAGTGATGTCATGCACGTTGAGATGTCATTCACTGAGTGATGTCATGCACGTTGAGATGTCATTCACTGATTGATGTCATGCACCTTGATATGTCATTCACTGAGTGACGTCATGCTCAGATAGGCGTAATTCACTGAGTGATGTCATGCTCAGATAGGTGTCATTCACTGAGTGATGTCATGCTCAGATAGGTGTCATTCACTGAGTGATGTCATGCTCAGATAGGTGTCATTCACTGAGTGACGTCATGCTCAGATAGGTGTCATTCACTAAGTGATGTCATGCTCAGATAGGTGTCATTCACTAAGTGATGTCACATGCTGAAAGATGTCATGCTTTAAAAAGGTCATGTTTCGATACCAAGCTGGATAACGGTGATATGGTTTTGAGCACAGCAGGAAGGCAGGGTTACATGTACTGTCTGTCTAATGATGTTTCCCCATCCTGCTCAGTGTGATGCGTGGTGGCGCTGAGACAGGATTCCGCCATGTGAAACCGGAGGAATACACGCCACGTCTCCTCCATTTCTCAGGCACCAGGCGTAATGTGGAGGTCAGGGAGGTAGGTCTGACAGTACCTACCAAACAAGGATGTAACCAAGCAAATGTGATAAGGGAGATAACTGTATGATTACTTGTAGGCAAATATGATAAGGGAGATAACTCTGTTTACCTTTCAGGGAATTCAAATTCTGGATAGAAATGTGTTTCTTATGTAATAGTTTCCTCATCTCTGGTGGGAACGGTGGGGTAGCCTAGTGGTTAAAGCGTTGGCTTGTCACACCGAAGACCTGGGTTCGTTTCCCCACATGGGTACAATGTGTGTACATTTCTAGTGTCCCCTGCTGTGATATTGCTGGAATACTGCTAAAAGCAGCGTAAAACCAAACTCACTTGCTCGCTCATCTCTTGTGATAACAAAACAATGTGAAGTGTATATTGGGTAATGGCTTGTTTACAATGTTTTTGGAAATTATATTTTTTTATAAAATACCTTTGTCACTATGTTACTGATGCATTCTTCTTTATGTTGCTATGCAATTTAAGTATTTTACCAGTATTGTTATCTCATCTTATGCAGGTTCCCCTGTGCAAGTCAAGGGTAAATTCAGATGATGTGTTCATCCTTGATCTTGGAGCTAAGATCTTCCAATTCAATGGCAGTAAGAGCAGCAAGGATGAAAGATTTAAGGTAACAGTGCGGGCATCTCTACATAACATCTCTTCTCATCATTACAATTACATCATCATAGTTCGAGACCCCCCACACCCAAGACTCACCAGTACATGAGACCCCCCATGCCCTGAGACTCACCAGTTCATGAGACCCACCCACACCCTAGACTCACCAGTACATGAGACCCATCTGCACCCAAGACTCACCAGGACATGAGATCCACCCACACCTGAGACTCACCAGTACATGAGACCCACCCACACCCGAGACTCCCCAGTACATGAACACCCCCCACCCCCACCCCACCCCTGCCCAAGACTCACCAGTACATAAGACCCACCAACATTTGAAACTCACCAGAACGTGAGACCCATGTTTCCTGAGACTCACCAGTATATGAGACCCACCCACACCCAAGACTCGCCAGTACATGAGACTCACCCACACCCGAGACTCACCAGTACACGAGACCCACCCACACCCAAGACTCGCCAGTACACTAGACCCACCCACACCCAAGACTCGCCAGTACACGAGACCCACCCACACCCAAGACTCACCAGTACACTAGACCCACCAGTACACTAGACCCACCCACACCCAAGACTCACCAGTACACTAGACCCACCCACACCCAAGACTCGCCAGTACATGAGACCCACCCACACCCAAGACTCGCCAGTACATGAGACCCACCCACACCCAAGATTCACCACCTCATGAGACCCCAGCTTCATGAGATTCATGCTTCCTTCTTTAGGCAATGCAGTTCTGTCAGGAGCTGGAATCAGAGAGGAATGGCCGTGCTAAGGCTGAAGTCATCGAGGATGAGTCCACAGACCAGTCGGTGAGTCTTCATGATGTTTTAGACACCATATTTGTTAACACAATCACTATATAGTAAGTGGTATTCAGAGCTCCAGATAAGCTTTAGCTCATGTGGGTACTATACCAGAGCTCCAGATAAGCTTTAGCTCATGTGGGTACTATACCAGAGCTCCAGATAAGCTTTAGCTCACGTGGGTACTATACCAGAGCTCCAGATAAGCTTTAGCTCATGTGGGTACTATACCAGAGCTCCAGATAAGCTTTAGCTCACGTGGGTACTATACCAGAGCTCCAAATAAGCTTTAGCTCATGTGGGTACTATACCAGAGCTCCAGATAAGCTTTAGCTCACGTGGGTGCTACTATACCAGAGCTCCAGGGCTTTAGCTCATGTGGTACTATACCAGAGCTCCAGATAAGCTTTAGCTCACGTGGGTACTATACCAGAGCTCCAGATAAGCTTTAGCTCATGTGGGTACTATACCAGAGCTCCAGATAAGCTTTAGCTCATGTGGGTACTATACCAGAGCTCCAGATAAGCTTTAGCTCACGTGGGTACTATACCAGAGCTCCAGATAAGCTTTAGCTCACATGGGTACTATACCAGAGCTCCAGATAAGCTTTAGCTCATGTGGGTACTATACCAGAGCTCCAGATAAGCTTTAGCTCATGTGGGTACTATACCAGAGCTCCAGATAAGCTTTAGCTCATGTGGGTCTATACCAGAGCTCCAGCTCAAGATAAGCTTTAGCTCATGTGGGTACTATACCAGAGCTCCAGGTAAGCTTTAGCTCATGTGGGTACTATACCAGAGCACCAGATAAGCTTTAGCTCATGTGGGTACTATACCCAATGTATTTTTTTGGAGTAGGTATTATGAATGTTGAGTGGGTATTTCATTTTCCGTTACCCACTGCTTTCAAATATGTGCGTATTTCAATCATTTTTCTCACCTAAGTATTATGTCATTGAGTAAGTTTACTAAGCAGGTATGTCCTGCCTTATATCATATAATCAAAACCAACTTAAATATAATGGAAATGATTTCATAAAAACATCACTTATCCAATACTGACAGTACAACTTGATAGCAATTGATGTCTTTCTCATTACGCAAGCGATTTTTATAAATATATTAAGCGATTTTTATAAATATGTATCTAACATTTTTAATGAGTAATTGGTATGCAACAATTATTTTTCAATGCTTAATTGGAAATTTTCTATGCATATTTTATCCGGATACGTAGCTTATCTGGGCCTCTGGGTATTAGTCTTGCTCAAGACAAAACCTGTGGGTGGATTATCTGCTCCAAGCTGTACTAGCTTTAAATGTCATCTGTGACAGAATTGCTATAATTATGGCATATTCGGTTACTTCTTTTGACTATTTTAAACTAATGTTTAAAAAGCGATTAATTGATGGGCAAGCTCTGTTATCCTGGCTTCTAGATGCCGGAGTTTGTGTTTCTGCTTATTGAAGGGCCAAGTGGTGAATTTTCATTCAGTCTTAAAATATTATATATATATATAGGTTTTATTATCTCAATTTTCCCTACTACTGTGTAAGTTTGTGGCCCTGATATGACTGAACAAATACTCCTACCCTTGCACACTCAAAACCCTCAGGACATATTGATCATTCTTCTTCTACATTTATAGAATAATTGTTACCAAAACATTAGTGCCTTTAACATCATAAAATAATTTACTATTACCAAGTGATCTAAATATTAAAAATTCATAAAGTTTGTTATGCAATTATGGAAACAACTCCTTTTAATCTTTTTTTCACCTGCCGGCTCTCATGCTGGCCTTACAGAAAGAAACGGGGTGGTGGGGTAGCCTAATGGTTAAAGCGTTGGCTCGTCACGCCGAAGACCCGGGTTCGAATCCCCACATGGGTACAATGTGTGAAGCGCATTTCTGGTGTCCCCCGCCGTGGTGTTGCTGGAATATTGCTAAAAGCGGCGTAAAACCAAACTCAGTCAGTACAGAAAGAAACATCCTGATTAGAACAATTCAGACCTTTTCTGCCTGTATTATGTAGACAATAACTGGCTTTAGCATCCTACAGAGAGAAATGGAAATGTAGTGTAATGTTTGCTGTTTATTACTCTGTCTCACAGTCCCAGAATTACTTTTCCTTCCACCAGCCTGTTCTTCTTTGCTAAAACCCTAAATGATGCAAGTCTAGATTTCCTCAGGTTCTGAATCTTCAATCCGACTGGGTCTCCTTTTCAATTTAAAAAGGAATTATTTAATTCTGGTAACATTTTATATATTCCGAGACTAAACATTAGTCTAGCTGGTACTCAGAGATATGGAATGACATTAATGCTCCCCATCATAAAAGACTCGTGAAGATCAGGGGTAGAATAGGTCTTCAGCAACCCATTCTTGCCACAGAAGGCGACTAACGGGATTGGGTGGTCAGGCTTGCTGACTTGGTTGACACATGTCATCGGTTCCCAATTGCGCAGATCGATGCTCATGCTGTTGATCTCTGTATTGTCTGGTCCAGACTCGATTATTTACAGACCGCCACCATATACCTGGAATATTGCTGAGTGCCGCGTAAAACTAAACTCGCTCACTCCCAACATAATATTTCAGATGTGTAAATATTCATCACACAATGTCTGACGTATGGATTCTAGGTAAGATGGGGCGACATAGGTGAGGTGAGGTGAAATTTGGTTTAACGTCGTGCTTGAGAATATTTCGCTCATATGACGACGTGCATGCGTGTGTATGTGTATGTGCGGCTGCTTGTACTAGCTCAGACTAAAGCTGGTTTTATAGTGCTAGCCTACTGAGATACCATGCCACAGTAAAGCATGAATACCCCACTCAGAAACATTATACTGACTCCGAGCCGACCAGTCCTTGTTCCCATTAATGCCGAACGCCAGGCAGGGACCAACAAGTACCATATTTTAACGTCTTTTGGTATGACACGGTCGGGGATTGAACCCGCGACCTTCCGCTCTCCGGGCGGACGCTCTAACCACTACACCACGGAGGTGGTCAGGGGTGGTGGGGTAGCCTAGTGGTTATAGTGTTCACTCATCATGTAGAAGGCCAGGGTTCAATTCCCCACATGGGTACAACGTATGGAGCCCATTTCTGGTGTACCCTACCGTGATATTGCTGGAATATTGCTAAAAGCAGCATAAAACCCAGCTCACTCACTCTAGGTAAGGTGGGTGTGAAGCATTTCATGCTTGTTGCACAAGAATGGAGATGGGATTGGTTTGCCAGCGTCTTGGCGGAAGTGGTCACTGGACATCATGGGTTTGTCTGACAAGAGTTGATTAGTCAGCCATGTCATGCTTGAATATTGTTGGCTGTTGTTATTCATTCACTCATTGTTTGTGCTCATCCTAAGTGTATATATTTGTTGTTGTGACACAGCACGAGTTCTACAAGTCCCTGACTGGTGAGGATGATTCTGACGGACCATACACTGCAGCAGATCCTTCCAAGGAGCTTTATAGGTTCGTAGTAGACCAATACAGGTGGGCAGTTGTTCTTCAAACATTCATGAGTAGACTTACACAGGTTTGTAATGGACATTCACAGGTTTATAGACAATTACTGGGTCCCAGTAGACCTCCACAGGATCCACAGGTTCCGCACGCTTATATTTACAGGTTCCTGACGCTAATATTTACAGGTTCGTAACACTGTGACGTAAAACAACTCTCAGTTGTGTCCCTTTGCAGGACACTGTTTATCTAAATAGAGAAATGAACCAGCAGTTTGCAACTTTTCATGACATCTTTTCAGCAGAATTGGGTTCCAAGTAAACCTGTCATAAATCAGCATAGATGCCTTGCTGTTGTCATGGCAGACGCCACAAATCTGTGGTACTGGCAGATGCCTCGAATCAGTGGTACTGACAGACGCCATGAATCAGTGGTACCGGCAGAGACCAATCAGTGGTACTAGCAGATGCCACAAATCAGTAGTAATAATGGCAGACGCCACAAATCGTTGGTACTGACAGATGCCACGAATCAGTGGTACTGGCAGAGGCCACACATCAGTGGTACTCTCAAACGTCACAAATCAGTGGTACTGTCAGATGCCACAAATCAGATCAGTGGTACTGGCAGACGCCACAAATAAGTGTCACTGGCATTCTTCTTCCCAGGCATCGGCTTGATAGTTGGTCATTTACAACAAATTACCTCATTCATATAACCGCTGTTGTGTGTGGTCCAAATTTCACTATTTACACACTGTTACATACAACTGGACAAATGACTGCCATAAAATTTCCCACACGAGCACTGTCATTGTTGGTGCAAACTGCTAAGATATTGCTGGAAGAGGTGTCAAACTTCATGCCCCCCTTTCCTTCACTAAGTTACACTAGGGTCAACTTTATAGATTGACCATGCTTTACTGATAATGGCAAGGGACAGTAGGGTAGCCTAGATGTTAAGGTGTTTGCTCGTCATGCAGAAGACCTGGTTTCGATTCCCCACATGGGTACAATGTGTGAAGCCCATTTCTGGTGTCCCCCGGTGTGATATTGCTGGAATATTGCTTAAAGCTAAACTCACTCACTCACTGATAATGGCAAGGATTATATTGAATGAAAGATCCTTTTAATGAACATCCTATGATGACAAGAGAAGTATTAGCAGATACCGTTATGGTAATGAGCTGTACTAGTGTCATTTGATTTAAGCCCTGTATTAATATTATAGAGGGTGTGCCACACTGCCAATCTACATTGTCATGGTACCTACATTTCTGTTTACAGATTGTCTGATGCTAGTGGCACTATTCAGTTCAAACTGGAGAAGAAAGGAGACATCAGCAAGTCTGATCTGGACAGCAAGGTAAGCCGACAAGTCTTAATTTCAAAACACATTTCTACACCTGCAATCAGGTGCCACCCATTCTGTATTTTATATGTTCCAAACTTATGTTTTTCTCGTCTGTCTGTTGGAGAGAATGATAGCATTTTGAGAAGTGTCTAACAGCAGTTGGGTAGCTTACAGGTTAAAGTGTTTGTCAAAGTCATTCCAAAGACTCAGGTTCGATTCCCCACAATGGGTACAATGTGGCTCGCTCACACAATACAGTCAGCTCTCGTTAATCCGACAGTCATTAATCCGACAATCACGTTAATCCGACAAAAATTAGGGAACCATTTAAAACAGTGATAATTACTCTCGTTAATCCGACATTCTCGCATTCCGACTCCGACACACCAATCTAGCAACTGATTATTGTAAATACATTGTAAAAACATTCGTTAATCCGACAATCAACACAGCCGGTCGGATGATCCGACCGTATACAAACAATCACACGTGAGTGGTAATTAGCGTGTGCCTTACTGGCTACTTGACACTGACGTCGGTGAACATCACACTTGTTAATTAGGAACACAGGATAATTAATTGAGATGATTTAATGAAGAAATAACAGTAGAGCGAGCTGTATAAAATGTTTACAACCGACATGAGTTTTCATCACAAGATGTTTGTCACGAGTACACCACCTGCTAAGCGACCCCTTGTAGAAGTTACGCCCATTGATCAAGAGAGAAATCTCCTTTTGAAGAAAGACAAACCCCAGACAACACAACAAGAAGTCATCACTTTTGCTGAGCAGAAGTTTGATGTGAAGATTGGACGATCAACCGTATCTAACCTCCTGAAGCAGTCTGCTTAGTGGTTGAGCCTCTCTACGACTGATTCCAATGCTTCAAGCTATCTGAGGCCATCGTTGAACACTTTGCAAACATTTCTGACACACCACTTAGACGTGTTTGATGTTAATGACCATCAAAGACTTTTTCAAGTTATAAATTATATATGTTATGATACACACCTGATTGTACATTAGGCGTCCACATGTTATTATGGAATTAGTTGTATGGAAACTGTAACATATTCAACATCCAGGTCATAATGGCAGCTGATATGTGGTAAAAACAAACGTGAGTTTTGTGCCAATGTGGTCTTGAAATAGATATGAAACGGTTCGCTTATGTGATTATATATGTATGTTATGCCATCTACGAATGTTAATAAATGATAACAAGTATGTATTGTTAGTATTTTTTATTTCTGTGAATATTTTTACGTACGATGAAGATAACTAGATCTACCATTTGTGATATGCATGCAACAGTATGACGATCATGACATTTAGTAAACATTGATATTTTCACACAAATACATTAATCCGACATTTTCATTAATCCGACATTTCCGTTAATCCGACATATTTCTCTGCAACCACAAGTGTCGAATTAACGAGAGCTGACTGTACACATTTGACACATCTACTGAAAGGTTGTCACAAATAATTTTAGCTAGACTTGTACATTTAAACTTTGCTAACATGATGAAAAAAAATTAAGATTTTTAGAATCGCAGTGTCTCAGAATTTTCGAAACATATCGTGGTATATATTCATTAGTGTACCATATAATGGTAAACCAGTAGTATTACCACACCTCTGATACATACTTTTGTAACACTTTTCTTATTTTCATGCCATTTTTATAACTTTTCAATCTTACCTTATGTTGTGTTTGGGCACAGTGTTCAGATTTTGAATTGTCACTTCTATTTAGGCAGACAAATAAGAAATACAGCTTTGAATATATTTAATCAAACAGCCCATTGAACTACTTTTAAGTATAGGGTCCATGGTGTACTTTGTGTTGAAGGCGTTTGCTCATCACGCTGAAGACCCGGGTTTGATTCCCATCATGGGTACAATGTGTGAAGCCCATTTCTGGTGTCCCCCCCCTCCTGATATTGCTGGACTATTGCTAAGAGTGTTGTAAAACCCAACTCACTCACTCACCCTTCTAAGTATAACAAAGCTGTTGTACATATTCTAACACAGATGGACAAAAGAGAATTCATTCGTTTGGAAATTTGTTTGTAAACTCTGAGCACTACTAATGTTTCTTTATCATCAGGATGTGTTTATTCTGGACACGAAATCGGACCTGTTTGTGTGGATCGGTCAGGACACGTCCTGCAATGAGAAGAAGAAGGCTCTGGAGTTTGCTCATGTGAGTCAGTGTTTGGAGTTTCTTATACAGCAAAACCTGAAAGAGTTCAAAATATCTTGTATTACAGTGCTTGGACTAAGTTTTACCAGGGGTTCACAATAGTCCTGTTACTATTCACGCGTGTATTCAGTGAATCAAGTGGTATCTCTTCAAGAATTCAATTCGTTATTTGTGGTCAGTGGAACTAAATATTTACAAATATGTTTAAGCGAGTCTTTTTACTTGGAACTAGTTTTTTTATCTTAGTAAATATGCAACATGTAATATATCCAAGCCACGCAGTGTGATGATGGTTTTTATCGAGAAGCATGTACATGTACAATGTGAATGACCCCTCCTAAAATTTATGTACAAAGTAAGAGATCCACCCGTCATGTCCAAAATCAAAGACACTCCCTTCTTTCCCGTAATTTTTAAGCATGATGTTTTAATATTTTTATGTACAAAATTGCTGACACACCACCATTGAGGAGGGAACAACTATTGCGATAACGATAGTCTATTGTGACATACTATTGTGACAGCGATAGTCTATTGCGACCAACTATTGCAATAGTTTTTTCTCCTTGAATTGTCTCATTTGAAGTCATTTCCCAGAGGTCCAGATAAGCTGCGTATCTGGGTAAAATACGCATAGAAAATTTCCAATTACACATTGAAAAATATTTGTTGCGTACCAATTACGCATTTAAAATGTTAGATACGCAAAAAGTTTATAACAATTGCATACGGAATATATTTATAAAAATCGTAATGAAAAAGACATTGATTGCTATCAAGTTGTACTGTTAGTATAGGACAAGCGTTGTACTGTCAGTATAGGATGAGTGATTTTTTATGAAATCATTTCCATTATATTTAAGTTGGTTTTGATTAGGTATGACATAAGGCAGAACATACCTGCTTAGTAAACTTACTCAGTCACATAATACTTAGGTGAGTAAAATGACTGAAATACGCACATATTTGAAAGCAGTGGGTAACGGAAAATGAAATACCCACTCAACATTCATAATACCCACTCCAAAAAAATACAATGGGTACAGTACCTACATGAGTTTAATCTTATCTGGAGCTCTGATTTCCCATATGAATGTATAGTTTATATGAAATAAAAACAAGTTGAAGTAGTTTCTGTCTCTTTTAATAACTGACAAAAAACTTGAAACCTAGATCAAGTAAACAGTTAAAACATAAACTCAATAAAGCTGCAAGTCTGCACCCAAACATCCTGTACTTGCAGTTATCAACGGAAGACAATTACTAAACTATCGATAGTTACACATACTATTGATACATTGATAGTTTTTCGTTTCAACCATTGATTAATTGCTATTGGGGACCTAACAATTGCAATGCATCGATAGTTCAATGCATCGTTACAGCCCTAATATTTATGCATAAGTTTTTAACACTGAAAAATAGATTGTATACTCTTCTATTTGAGGCTTAGTATAACCTCTGTTTTCCAGAACTATCTCATGAAGACCGATCATCCTTTCATCTCCGTGACCGCCATCGCTGAACGTCAGAGATCGGCTTCTTTCAACACCGCAATCGCTGCCTAATGTGATAGGCCGACATGTCGTGAACTTCCTGTCACATGACTTGATGTTGCACATTAGCCACATGACCATAGACATTCTTCCACAAGTGCTGTCTGTTTTGATATACACTGTCCAGACAGCAGTTCTTTCTTATAGGACAATATACTTAAGAAATACTGTGCAGTTGATCCTGAAAGTGAGAGATCATTCGAAAATAATGAACAAATTGCCAACAGAACGAATTTAGCATAAATAAATGCTTTCCTCTGATTGGTTTATGCCACTGGTTGTATGTACATACCAAGGTTTTGATTCCTACAGTTAAGTATTTGTAATATAAATATTTCAGTGATATTTGGCTAAGGGCTAAGACTGTTTTCAGGATCTATTACATTATGCAGTGTTATGTAATTTCTTGAAAGAAATTCCAAATTTATAGTACATTTATTTACACCCACAAGTCCAGTAACAGAACAAGAGTTATGTCCCTTGGCTGTAATCATCAGCCCTGGTTTAGCAGCTACATACTTCTGCCATTGATGGTGGGACTGAAATGGTGTCTGTTTTGCTTGCATTAATATGACACACCTTGAAATATTTGAAACCAAATAAACAGCCTTATAATCACTCATATGGTCAAATTTCTGCACTGGCGTTCCTTAAGTATATTCAAGTGGAGTTTTTTATTGTTTCCTTTTTCCCCACAACGTAGGATTTCAGTTATGTTGATATGTTTACCAAAATCTTTTTTATATACTGAACAACATTAGAAACGCACCACCATATAATGCATTTTGTATTATACCCTGTCAGACTGAAATGTACCCATGATATCTGAGCATCGTCTGTACATTGTAGTGTGGTGCATTTCTAATGGTGTTCAGTATATATTGATATGTAGAATCTACAGGTATTTCTTTCCATCTTTGTCTATCATTATCATGTTTTCGAGATAGTAGAATTATCATGTGATCGGGTTTGTGTATTGTGTTCCTAAGTAAACAAGATGAGCAATCAATTTGTAATTTCAACAAAGACTGAAAAGGTTGGAAATGTCACATATCATTGGAAATCAAAAGTAATTCAATTTTATATCAGTCTTGAGATCACTGGGAAGAATAATGGTAAAGGTGTTCACTTAACTTTCAGGGTGCAACAAGTTTTTTCATTTGGTTATTGAGCAGAAAGCTAAGTTAAGAAGCCCTAGTTTCATATGTATTCAAAGCGCGATAGTTGTCTTGTTAAATAGGATCATCTTAATGTGCAGAGAACTAATACTAAAACTAGATGTTTCACCAGTCACTACCATAACACTTTGATTCCCCATAAGGAGAAATCCTTCACTTTATAGTTTTACAATGAACCACATGCTGATTAGAAACATAAAATTCAAATTATTGTAATGTAAGTAATTTGTCGGAAGTTTGGCCTGGGTTATTTGAAATGAGCTGTCACTTGTCCATGAACAAAACTTCCAGAGCCAAAGGGGTGGTGGGGTAGCCTAGTGGTTAAAGCGTTGGCTCGTCACGCGGAAGACCCGGGTTCGATTCCCCACATGGTCACAATGTGTGTGAAGCCCATTTCTGGTGTCCCCTGTCGTGGTATTGCTGGAATATTGCTAAAAGCGGCGTAAAACTAAACTCAGTCAGTCAGTCAGTCAGTCCAGAGCCAAAATATAAAATTGTCTGGCTACTGTAAGAACACAAGAATTTGTGGCACCCACCATGATATTTCCACACGACTGATAATATCTGAAGTCACACTAGTCGCTGTTGATGTTTTCCCTTTAGCTGACCACCAACCTTCCTTCAAGCACAGGGTACTGTTTGTCGATAAGCATTAAAACCATTCCCTTCATTTGGCCTAAACTGGCCAACATTACGTATGCCATGACAGTATTTTATATTAATTTCCAAGATAAACATTTCCAACCCCTTTACCATTTTAGGAAGGAAAATTAAAGAATATTGAAGAAATTGTAATTTTGAATCTATTTGATTTAAATTAATAACATTGAATTGTTAGCATATTTAATTAACTGCTAGTGAGTGCAGATTGTTGAACATTTACTTGACACTTTTTCAGGTAAGCCATTTTGTGCCTTCTTTTCCAAATTGCACTTTTTTGCAAAATGATTATTCAAGTTGTCTGTTATTGGTTTATTGTTATGTTCAATTTGATTTGTTTGGTGTATATTCTGAATAAAACATTATTCTAGTCCAACCAAGTAAGCTCAAAGTTTGCACCATTCCATGCTTCGGTAAATACCAGTAAAAGAGTAATATGTATGACAGCTTTACCAAACTATTAGGATGTTGCCCGCATAGAAATCTGAATTATTGATGGTGTTTTGAATATGAATTTTTTCATTCTTTTGTAATTGCGCAAGCTTTTGTGTCACATGCAATGCCATACATTGTTACAATAGTGTCAATCAAAATGAAGACTTTATCAATATTTATTTCTGCCTCTTGCAGGCCATACACATCTGAGGGTAAACAGAAATAAATATGGAAATATTGGAAATTGAAAACCCAAACAAAGGAATGCTATAGACGTTAAGAATGTGTTTTTTTGTTGGACTTTAATGAATATTTAGTCCGGAGATTGTATTTGTGTGCTATTGTAGACATTTTGTTTGAATAACATTTCACCTTCATTGGTACAATATTGTCTCAGATTTTACAGATTTGATTTATGTCTTGACATTTACACTTGATAGAATAAATGCCAAGATGCCTTTCTGGTTTTTTATTTAGAAAATACATGTTATTGAATCAGTTCGAAATTGAACTGTATGTTTGAATTGCACAGTTTGCGTTCGTGCGGGAGAGGTGCTAGGCCAGGAGAATAAGAGTTTGACCCTGAACAAATTGCAACAGAAATAAATCCAACTGTTTGGTTCTCAGACAACATCAGTGAATGACATACTAAAAGTCTTAGTAAATCCAAGGGGAATTATTTTAATTTGACATCTCTTTGAATCAATATGGTAAAAAAATTGCTTTTAACCCTTAAGTATTTTTTTGCTGTCAAAATTAAAAATATCATATTTATTCCATGTTAAAGATAAAATTATAGCAAAGTCAATAATTATCCTAAATTTTGATAATGTTCCCCACCTCGGATTTCTTAAGACATTTAGTATGTGATGTATAAGGTATGCCTGAATTAGAAACAAAACATTTAGTTTCTGTTGCAATTTGTTTTGGGTTCCCCCTTTTGGGGATCTACATCTCCTGGCCTATGCCTTCCTTGAGACATGGGATCAGGCCTTGATTTGATGGACAAAAACACATGTACAGCTTGGGACTGAAACACAAAGGGTATTTATGGTAAAGTACATGTTTGTACTGACAGAAACCCAGACACAGACTACATTGTATTTCCTGCAAATAAAACTACTGGTAAAATATTGACAATATTCTTTTTGTTCTATCACGAACAGAATGAGTGAGTGGTGTGTTTGGCTGTGGTCAGGCGTGTCCACTTGTATCGGTCAGTCTGTGGAAACAATATATCGGCACCAGGCAACCCAGTGACTGAAAACATGAACACTATCATGGCTCTCAGATCATAAAAAAAATAATAATTGGCCACTTATGTAGCGCTGAACTGGCTGTAGGGACATGCTCTAAGTGCATATGGAAATTATGCCTCTGAGGCGCTAGGTTAATAGTCACATGACTTATACCACCGGGTACCCATTTTCTGCTGTGTGAACACAGACAGTTTTGAACAAACTCACTTGCCTAAGGTTTGACCCTATAATATGCTTCGTTGTGGGGCAGAACAGAACTCTGCAGAAGGGTCCCCCATCCATGGACTCTCCTGACCAACGTTGCTTAACTTCACCTGATTTGTGACCTCCTCTATGCACAAGACCACACACCAACAGATGGAATGACATGGCACCAGTTAACAAAGTCAGTGAGCCTCTCCAAGCCAATACAGTATTAGCGGTCTTTCACGAGACCATTGGGTGCCGAGGACATGTGGTTCTGGTACTAACTCTGAGGATTTGAATGTCGAGACAGTTTTTGACATGTTTTACCCATCACGATCCCTGGCCCAACACATTGATGTTCATGTGCCACGAAGCACTGTTGGGGCGGTGGGGTAGCCTAGTGGTTAAAGCGTTCGCTCGTCACGCCGAACAATCGGGTTCGATTCCCCACATGGGTACAATGTGTGAAGCCCATTTCTGGTGTTCCCTGCCGTGATATTGCTGGAATATTGCTAAAATGGGCGTAAACCTCACTCACTCACTCACTCACTCACACTCACTCACTCACTCACTGTGCCAACAATGTATTAAGTTTTAATGTTAAAGTATCAGTCATTTCGTGTTGGCCATAACCTGTGAAGATCCATGTTAGAATTGATCTTCAGTAACCCATGCTTGTCGGAAGAGGCGACTAACAGGATCGGGTGGTCAGGCTCGATGGCTTGGTTGATACATGTCATCGGTTCCCAATTGCGCAGATCGATGCTCATGCTGTTGATCTCTGGATTGTCTGGTCCAGACTCGATTATCTACAGATCGCCGTCATATAGCTGGAATATTGCTGAGGGCGGTGTAAAACTAAACTCACTCGCTCACTCACCACTCGTCTTGGCCATAAACTTCAAGATGTTTTCTTGTCATTGATAGTTTCACAGCAGAGTTGTTTTGCTGTGATCAGTATTCCAGCTTGTGTCAACTAATTGTGAAATCAAAGCCCAAAGTATTAATGTACATTTTTACCACAAGTTTTTGCATGGTCCTGAATGCTTGATCCTCTCAATATATGTTAGCACAGATGACCCTTATATCTGAATCAGTCTGTGCTCATATTCCCACACAAGCTGACAGGCGGTGATATAACTCAGTCCCTGGCAGTTAAGGAAGGTGTATTCCTTACGAAAACCAGCCCGTGAAGATCCGGGTTAGAATCGGTCTTCAGTAACCCATGCTTGTCGTAAGAGGTCACGATAACGGGATCGGGTGGTCAGGCTCGCAGACTTGGTTGACACATGTTATCGTATCCCAACTGCGTAGATCGATGCTCATGTTGTTGATCACTGTATTGGCTGGTCCAGACTCAATTATTTACAGACCGCAGTATTTAGCTGGAATTGCTGAGTGCGGCGTTAAACAACAAACCGACCAACCTAATGAAGACCTGAAACAGAAACTGGCTCAGGGTCCAACGTTGCAGGCTTGTCTCACTGAGCTGTACAGCGGATTCTGACCTTGGCTGTATATCCCCACTGTACATGGATGTAAACGATGTAATGTTTCGATCCGTCACCTGTTTGGAGAACAGATGTTGCAGGGGCCTATTGGCTTGAATGACGTTAACACCGCATTACACCTGTTGACAAGACATTCGAAATGACCTATTGCATAATGGCTCAAGTTGTTCGATCTTCAGCAGCTGAAATGCTACTTGTCAATGATAAAAGCGATGTCAGCGGAATTTGTAGTCTCAACTTAACTCAACTCGCTATATACCGCTCAAACATTGCTAAGCGTCATCGTTTCAAGCGGGGGGCGGTGGGGTAGCCTAGTGGTTAAAGCGTGGCTCGTCACGCCGAAGACCCGGGTTCGAATCCCCACATGGGTACAATGTGTGAAGCCCATTTCTGGTGTCCCCCGCCGTGGTGTTGCTGGAATATTGCTAAAAGCGGCGTAAAACCAAACTCAGTCAGTCAGTCAGTTTCAAGCGGGCTTAAAATATTTGGTCACTTGTTTAGATAAAAAAGACGATATTACGTGAAGATATTTTAATGAACAAACAATATATTATGCTTCACATATTGCCAATAAACATGTAACCAGTAATAAGTCAGATCCCCATTGAACTGACCAAAACACAGACTTAAAAGAAATCACGGAAACCAAGTCCAAAAATGCAAGAATGCAAAATGCAAGTATGTGATGCATGTGGTACGATCACAGTGTGACGAATCATGTTGTACATCGCAGCGTGGGGGATCATGTTGTACGATTGCGGCGTGGTGAATTATGCTGTATGATCGCAGCGTGGTGAGTCATGTTGTACGATCACAGCGTGGTGAGTCATGTTGTACGATCACAGCGTGGTGAGTCATGTGCGATCACAGCGTGGTGAGTCATGTTGTACGATCACAGCGTGGTGAGTCATGTACGATCACAGCGTGGTGAATCATGTTGTACGATCGCAGCGTGGTGAATTATGCTGTACGATCACAGCATGGGGAATTTATGCTGTACGATCGCAGCGTGGTGAATTATGTTGTACGATCCCGTACAGCGTGGTGAATCATGTTCGATCGCAGCGTGATGAATAATGTTGTACGATCACAGCGTGGTGAATTATGTTGTACGATCCCGTACGGCGTGGTGAATCATGTTGTACGATTCCGTACGGCGTGGTGAATCATGTACGATCACAGCGTGATGAATCATGTTGTACGATCACAGCGTGGCACCGTCGTCACAGGCTTCCAGCATGTGTCTGTAGGGTTGCCATGGGAAGATTGTTCCACTCTTCAGCAAAAACATTGCCGAGTTCCTGTAGAGTTTCCTGAAGGACAAGACGTCGTGAGAGAGGGATCTGCAGGTCATTCTTCATGTGTTAGAGGGTCGAGGTCAGGTGAAAGGACAGAACGCTCCAAGCGCGCAATGGTCTGCTTAAAGTAAACAAAAGCGTTCCTGGGAAGATCGTGTGTTGTCTTTGGGACGGAGAAGTCCGGACCGACTGAACCAGCTAACGCTCCCGTCTTCTCATACAGAATATCACGCCTGTAGTGCACACCTGTCACCGTGCCCCGCTACTGGACATGTAGACCGGTTCAGCTCAACTGATCCAACATACCCGTGAAGATCCGTGTAAAAATTGGTCTTCAGTAACCCATGCTTGTCGTAGGTAGCGACTAACGGGATCGGGTGGTCAGGTTTTGCTGACTTGGCTGACACATGTTATCCCAAATGCGTAGAACGATGCTCATGCTATTGATCACCGGATTGTCTGGTTCAGAGTCAATTATTTACGCCATATAGGCCGAATGTTGTTGAGTGCGGCTTTTAACAACGAACCAAACCAGCCGAGACCAATCTCGCGTAGAGGAGTATTCACTGTCTGAATCGAAACGGTAACGCAAATGGCGTTAAGCAGGTCATTTCTAAGTATAATTCCTGTCACGAAATACACCCAATTATTGTGTTCCGGGATTTGTTGGGTACGAGTATTTTTGGTGATACCATCAAATACAGAGAACTGTATAAAGGTCCATTAACTACAGATATACTATTTGCTTAATCTTGCATATTAGTTCCAATTTTGAAACTGGGAGGTTAACCCCAAAATAGGTACGTGCAACGATATTATGAAACAGTACATAACCGACCGACATCAATGAATGATTAAATTATTCTGATGAAAAAACAGTATTAGGTTCAGAATTAATAAAATGCAATTTGTTTATATTTGCAATAAATTAGAGAGCAAATACACAGCTTGGTGCAGTAAATGTCGGTCTAATGTCGTGAATCGGGCACTTGCTCTGTTGTTTAGATCCCGGAGAAGTACACAAGACCATATCGATCCATTTGGAACCAGAGTAACTAATATTGTTTGAACGCATTGATTTTGTCTGACGGAAATGAACACTGAAACAGATGAATAAGAGTTTCATTTGAGCCAATTATTATGATATCTTGCTTCTGGTCATCCTCGATAATCTCCAGGGTAAACGTTCCGATAAATCCCCACAAGTACTTACGGAGATTTATCGGAACGTATACCCTGGAGATTATCGAGGATGACTTCTGGTTCGACCTGCTTTTGAAATGACAGCTCGAGAGGTGATATGGGAAGGGTGGCTGAAATGTGACGAGTCTTTCATGGACTCTGTGATGGAGTTTACATGGTTGAGAATAATTTTGAAACATTTCACTTCTCTGAGGTGCTCACATTTCTGCCAACTTTGCTTGAGTGCCTGGATCCATATAGAGTGGTGGGAAGAATTTCAATAAAAAACCACAGGCCCACGTACAATATGACTGTATAAATATATTCATACAAGGTTAATTTCACAACATATTTATAACATATATTCACAATAAATAAGTATAACATATACGTATATAATAATGTAAGTCACGTAAATTTGGCCACGTAACATTAAATCTTCGATAACATTTGCATACCGGGATATGGATTTAGAAGTGGCATTTTGAAGAAGATTTATTAGGCAATCGTTATTTACATATCCATATATGTTTGTAAGTAATTTTAGACTGAACAGAAGAACGTATTTACAAAACTGTAAATGAAACCTTTCTAGTGTTACACATTACTGGTAGCCACACATCAGTAAAGAGCAGTAAAGAATAACTGCTTTTATTTGTGTGTCAAACATTTGAAAGAAACCAGAAGGGAAAGATCCTGTAATTTATAATGAAGTTGTTTGAATAGAAGAAGAGCTCTACTAGCTTTATGAAAAAGAGTTTGTACTGATTTTAACTCCATTTAAAAATACGACACCTAAATAGCTATACAAGGTTGAAGTTGATAAACTTTCACCATTAAATATCCATTTTTCAGTATTGTTCATTATACCCCTTTACGGAAAGCATGCATCTATCTGTTTTTGTAAAATTTATCCCCGTTCCCATTTTGTACAAATTTAAATGATACATTTATTTTTTCAGTAAACCTATGACAGTATTTGAGAAAAAACGATGACGGTCATGTTGCTAGTGAACAATGCCAGATCATGGCGACGGTCATATTGCTAGGGAACAATGCCAGATCATGGCGACGGTCATGTTGCTAGGGAACAATGCCAGATCATGGTGACGGTCATGTTGCTAGGGAACAATGACATATGATGATGACGATCACGTTGCTGTGGAAACAATGAAAACAAAGGAACGACTGGAAAGAACAGGTCAATCCGAACGAAGAATAAATAATTATGTATTACTCAGAAACAGTTACTGAAATAGGTTTACCTGTTCTCGTGCCCCTATTATCAATACAGTTATTTTTAGCAATTTTACTAGAGCATTGTAATGTCTGAGGATATATGTCTTTTAGCTGGCATGCCTTGTAGCTGGTAGGCTATTCTCTCTTTAGTACGGGGCGGTTGGGTAGCCAAGTGGTTAAAGCATTCGCTCGTCACGCCGGAGACCCGGGTTCGATTGCAAACATGGGTACAATGTGTGAAGCCCATTTCTGGTATTGGGCGGTGGGGTAGCCAAGTGGTTAAAGCGTTCGCTCGTCACGCTGAAGGTCCGGGTTCGATTCCCCACATGGGTACAATGTGTGAAGCCTATTTCTGGTGTCCCCCACTCGCTGTAATATTGCTAAATGTGGCGTAAAACCAAACTCACTCATTTCTGGTATGCCACGTCGTGATATTGGTGGAATATTGCTAAAAGCGGCGTAAAACTCAACTCACTCACTATTCTCAGTATGATACACTGGAGAAACGAGGATGGTGAGACCCAGTCCAGTCCACAGCTAGGCTCCCTGGTTCAAACAAGCATGTCACCACTTAAAATATAATTACTTGTACCTTGTAACTCTCACATGTCGCTTACATGTCAACTGACGTGAAATACAATACAACGTACAAATCAGGTCAGTTCTTTGTTTCGGCAAATCCGATACCAAAGAAAGCCGTACCTGTGGACTGTGTACTGATAGGCCAATCTGAGCATTTGACCTGGTAAATTAGTCGCGTCCACATAGATAATCACCGAGGGTGAGAAACATGAAAGGCAGTTTTTTAAACATAGGCGCTTCAATCATACCAACAGTCTGATGAGCAAAGATCCCGAGCTATGTTAAAAGAATGTTTCTGGTTGGTTGCATTTGAAAGCCCGAACGCTGTCCAGGGATTGTTAATTGAGAACTATTGACGCTGGTCTATTTCACAATATCGGTCTCATGCCCCTTAATCACGAACTGTGACGTCTTTTAACCAGACGTCATTTTGGCGAGAGGCGGGAGTGGAAAAGTTGGCTATTTCAACAGTTTTCTGCTGGATTTCTCGGCTATTTCAACACCACCTCGCTATAACAACGCCTGACCTATATTGACATATCACTACAGCGTCAGGTGAGTGTTTGCATTCCTCGAAACAACGCGCCCGTGCATCCAGGTGTCGCTGCAAGATGTTTCCGACTTTGAAATACTCCCGAACCAAATCATAGGCAATAAATATCGTAATACAGTAACTTCGTAATAAATAAATGATTATTCATGCGGTCAGACACGGTGAAATGTACGTGACACAACTCCACGTGAATCGTGAGTAGCGCATGTTAGGAAATAGTGACAGGGGATTTTAACCGGATAAGCTGTGTCCACATTCAAGCATCTGTAGCAGACGACACACGCACGGGACAGCTCAGTTCAGGAGCAGTATCGCAGACGACAGGTAGGTTGTTTTTACATCCTCTCTATCAACTGATAGTATGATCGTTTTATCATCCACTCTACACCGTATCAACCTTGAGTTGTACACATTAAATCTGTGTTTGACTGTGAGCTTAGAAAGGCCATTGTCAAACTCATATATACCTGAAATGTGAGTGAGCTTGTTAGGAGTGAATTCTAACAATATATTGTGTCCCAGTTTTACATTATCACTGATATATTGTCTAGTAATGTGTATATGAACACATACATAAACCTGTTAATTTATTATTGATAATCAGGGATAAATATACAATCTAATGTTCTTGAATGGTTTGTGGAATTGTTGGATTCTAAGTTTCTTCGACTAAATATCGTTTGTCATTTTCGTGCTAATTTCATGACAGGTATGTGTCACACACACAAACTCTCACACACACACACACACACACACACACACACACACACACACACACACACACACACACACACACACACAAACACACACAAACACACACACACACATACACACGCACGCACAAACATACACACAAACAAACATACACACACATACACACGCAGATCACAAACAAACACACACACATATCGATGTTGCTCTTCGGGTCAAGACTTGTTTATCTAGCGTCAGTTTCATGTCTTTATTTCACGGTTTGATAGTCATTCAGGGTTACGATACTCATTCAGGCTTACAGTGTTACAGCGGGAACAATGAACATTTTAAATATTTAGATATATTCCAATAATGTAAGGGCGAATCATTTGTTGTTGTTTTAGGCTAAGGATATGAACCTAAACGCTTTCCGAGACTGAATGTAGCCTACAAAGCTTGATGTTCATCCGTTCATATTCAAGTACCATGACGTATGCGTGCTTTGCATACAGCGGTCTATCGATTCAATCACGCCAGTGTCACTTAATAAATGTGTTTGGTATAACACGGGCTTGAACACTGAACAAATGAAAGAGTAACTGGTCCAACATTCACTCAGTCTATTGATTGGCATTAAAACGTTCGAAATCGGCGATTGTCAGAAACAGGGCGTTGTCATTCAACGACAAGCATAGACGCAGAACTCATTGGACCGAATCGGGAATTAGCTTGGCTTCGCGTCTCTGTTACTTAATTACAGGGACGGTGGGGAAGCCTGGTGGTTAAAGCGTCCGTTCTTCACGCCGAAGACCCGGGTTCGATTCCTGCATGGACACACTGTGTGAAGCCCATTTCTGGTGTCCCTTGCCGTAATATTGCTGGAATATTGCTGAAGGCGGCGTAAAACCATACTCACTCACACATTACTTAATTGCATATTATAATACAAGAATAATGTATCGCGAAAACGAGTCTACAAACGTTAAAGTGTTAAAAGGTGGTTATGCAAATGTGACAATCAAATATAAACGTCGTGAGATATCAGATGTATTTTGCTTGAGATAACATCGCATTCTGCTTCGTGATCAAGTACATGAATACCTGTTGTGAGGTCTATATTTCAAATATCACAGATACAAGGAAATAATCCATATTTGAACCTTTAACGTTTAAAGTCAGCCTTTGGTATGGTTTTGACGTGTCGTGTTACAACTGTCCAGCGGAATCTGACCGCTGTCTGACTGAGCATGACCTTTACATTGATCTCCTGTCGCTCATAACTGATTCATATCTGTTCTTTATGTATGACAACTGAAATCTACTGCCTCTGTGCGATGTCGATACCGCCAGTCTCAAGTACTTCCCTGGGACACAACGATATGACCTAACGTGTCGATTGCATCACGAATCATGTGTAGCCTACTCGCTATTGGGTTTGCTAGGATCATATATCTGTGTTTGTCAGCCAGGGCCTAGATTTTCGAAGCTCTCTTAGCGCTAAGATAGTCGTAAGTGCCATTCATTAACATTAACTTACGACTATCTTAGCGCTAAGAGAGCTTCGAAAATCTGGGCCCAGGTCCCCAGGCTCCTAGGTCACTAGAGACTGTGTCGGTGTATGGGTTCTGGTTTCACCAGGTGGTGAACGTCTAATACATGATACAGGCCTCACTTCGGGTTTTCCTCCTCAATGAAGCAGAAACGCATAAACTGGAACACTGTTCAAAGAGGCGTAAAACCAACTCGCTCTCACTACAGTCTTGTCGAGGACCCGTGAAGGTCCGGGTTAGAATGAACCTTCAGTAACCCATGCTTGTCGTAAGAGGCTACTAACGGGATCGGGTAGACAGGCTCTCTGACTTTGTTGACACATGTCATCGGTTCCCAAATTCGCAGATCGATGCTCGTACTGTTGATCATTGGATTATCTGGTCCAGACACGATTATTTACAGACCGTTGCCGCCATATAGCTGGAATATTGCTAATTGCGACGTAAAACTAAAGTCACTAACTCACTCGCAAATTTGTCGAGTGATATCTGTTATCTGATATCATTAATGTAACCTTGAGGGGTCAGTATCGCGATATGGCTGCAATATTGCCGATGCTATATGTAATATTGTAACTCACTCAGCCCAAGTGTCAGACCGACCGGCTTAATAGTTCAGACTCGACCGTTATGCATGACAACGAGTGAGTGAGTTTTGTTTTAGGTCGCTTTTAGCAATATTCCAGCAACATGACGGCGGGGGGACACCAGAAATGGGCATCACACATTGTATAAATCTGGGCAATCGAGCCTGGTCTTCAACGTGACGAACGAAAGCTGGCTATCTTACAGAATGCATTTATTTTTACAGTAAAGTTGTTTATGTTTACGGCATGGCGCGTTACACCAAACTCACCATTTATTCACCAGCCCTCTCACCTAGGGACTCACTCACACATTGGCCGTCTCGAGCATGATATCCCCCTCACATGTCAACATGCTGGTACATTAGGTTATCAACTCAACGTTGTATTAAGCCCAGATCCATTACGTATATCTTAAATCTTTTTTGTCAACCTGCCAAACATTTCCTGAGGAATACGTTTATTACTCTTTGTTAGGATTGCAAACAAAGTGTGCGGCGACGTCGGGTGCGCTACGACTGGCGTTGCAAGGTAAAATTACCGCATGAAATACTGCATAATGATTTTTGCCGCTTCAGTTGTTAGGATAGACTTGCACAAGTCTCTGAGGTAATAATTAATACTGTAAATGATAATTTCATTAAAAAATATAAATAACAGACTGGGGTCTTTAGAGTATTGTCCTCTTACCTTGGCCTGCCTTGTTATTGGATAGACTTACTATACATGCATGGGCTCAGCATTCAGTACAGCCTTGTTTCGACCGCTCGTAAGTTCTTCTCTCCAAGGTCACGCCTGCTGACTTCCCTTGTGGGTTGAAAGGAAGGCTTGAGTCAACATCACTCCTCGACTTCCCTGTATACTGACTTGTTTAATTTAAAGTTGAATCCTGATGTCAAATGTGATATTGTAATTTAAATCCGTCTTATTTATTCTAATGTTCATTTTAAATATGTCCGCTTCAAATAAGAAACGGCTCACATTTCATATCTTAAACACCAGATTTACAGAATAAATATTCTCCCTTCCTACATCCCTCCCACCCCACCCCCACACACATACAGACACACACCTCTCGCCTTCTGTCTCTCAGCACATACCAGATTCTGCAGGTTGACTCATTTTACTCCCTTCTTTAGTTTGAAGTTATAATGGGAGTAAATCAATCCTACCCTGTTTCGAAACATCTATTTATAGTTGCCCAAGACACTAGTCGTATTGTGTTCTTACCGGAGCCCTTAAACTGTTTAACCGTGTAGCAACGTGATCCAAGTTATGACCCTATAGCTAGATGCAAAATATATTGCGCAATAACTGGGTTGTACATAAGTGAAGCAATGATAGTTAAAATATTTCAGACCAGGAAGAGTATGAAGCAACATACTCAACAATGTCGGGGCCCAATTTTACCAGGTCATTTTTTAACATAAATTTATTTATGAAGCGTAGTGTTTTTTATGGTCTTCCTGTAGACGAAGCTATGTCTTCCCTGGCGGGTAGTCCCTCGGGCACAAACCACGCGTCGAGCCTGTCACAAACAAAATTATTACTTAATAGCTGTAATTTGTGAACTTTTTAAACCCATGTCTCAAAAGTACGCCTGGGGAAAACGCGATTTGCTGGTCGAGGCTACACAATGATGAACAACGTAATCACGCAGCAAGAAAGCAGTCTATTTCGAAATACGAAACAACTATTCCAATATGTCAGCCTATGCAAAAGTCTTGATCTTCACGTAACATCTCCCTTCTTCTCTCTGTCTTCCCGCTTTTCTCCTCTTGTTTTCCACTCATCCCTGTTTTTTCTCTCCTTCAACCAGTTTCATATTTTCCGTGACAATCTCCCTCGTGCGTGTCGTGTCGGTAGCCAAGAAGAGATCTGATACTGATCTATCTGACTGAACCAAACTGGCCAACTGATACATATCGATCTGACACTAATTGGTAATTATAACCTTCAGACTCACTATATAGGGCAGTTTATGTGTTTTGTCATGTCATACCTAGTTGGTCCAGCTGTCTGAGTTTCATCAATTCCCTATGCTGTATTGCACTGGGGACCTAGAGTTTGAAAACAAATACTCAATAATGTCTAGGTCCATCTTACCATGTCATATTTTAATACATATTTAAATATGAAACGTAGTACCGTTGTCGCAGCATTAATAAATGAGAATCTTGCTAAGTCGAAGTCACAGGTAGTTTAACGAAGCCGTGGTTAACTGTTCGAAACAAGCGGAGTATTTCAGTTATACGTCAGCTTGATGTAAGAGGAATGCCCGACAGCAGAACTAAATACCAACATACACAAGTGTGACGACAAGGGAGTACCATTAGGGCGACTCTCTAATTTTATCCCACGTTTATAGGATCCTGAGATGCCTAAGGGACACAACTCTGTGCAGTTAATTTTTGCTACTTACATGACTGACCCAATTCTTCAAATGAATTTGCAATTCCAATTGGCGCGGTTTTCATTTATCAAGCCATGTTGATAA